GAAAACAAACACACTAATTCAAAAGATGTATGCACCCATGTGTTTATTGCAGCATTATTTATAATAGGCAAGATCTGGAAGCAGCCTAAGTATCCATTGATAGACAAACAGAGAAGTAAGATGTGTATATATACACAATGGAATATTACCCAGCTATAAAAAGATGAGATTTTGCTATTTGTGACAACATTGATGGACCTCTAGAGGGTACCTGCTAAGTGAAATAAGACTGAGAAAGACAAATACCATATGACTTTACTCATGTGGAATCTAAATAAAAAAAACAAATGAATAAACAAAATGCAGAATCAGACCTGTAAATATGGAGAACAAATTGATGGTTGTGAGAGGGAAGGGGGGGTAAGGCATGAACTGCAGAGCTCTTTGTTCTCCTCTGCATCCCATAAATTTGTATGCTTCGGGTGTGTTTCTCTTGACATTTCCCCGTAATTAAAGAGAATTTTACAAATCACCTTGGTTGAGTCCTTTCATAGGGATTTTAATGAAAGGAAGGTATAAAATGCAATACTTAGGTCATATTACTGGTCCTAGAATTTTTTTCTTTGGAATTTTCTTTTATATTATTGCTTTTTTTGCCATTCATCCTTTAAAATAATTTAAGTTCAGAGATACAATCCTTGTGGGGTTCTGATTGAAATTGACCTGATACAAATTAAGTTGGGGTAAGCAAGCATGTTTATGTATGTTTTCCTTTTTGGACAGTTATGTCTTACATTTTTGTTTAGTTAAATCTTCTTTGAAAAAAAAAAAAACTCCCTTGAAGTAATTTCATACCATTTCATAGGACCTTTGCAGTGTTTTTGTACACCATACTACCTTCTCTCTTCCAATTACTTGTATACCAATTATAATCTCCACTCATTGCCTTTACTTCAAATTCTCTTATATTGCCTTACCACTTGCAGTCTGGTTCTGCTCCCTCTAATTTGGCTAAATCCAGTTGCCTTTCTTTATTTTTCTATTCATCAGCTTACTGAGATTTGTAAGATATTTCTGACCACTATTCATTTTCTCTGTTTAAAGCTCTATTCTGTTTCTCTCTCCCTTTAACTGACGCCCTATTTTTCTGTTTTTTCCTCGTTCAACCATAACATCTTTGTCATGTTACTTTGCATCTCTGTCCAGTGACATCTAGTAGAACAGTCTGTGATGATGGATATATTCTATATCTGTGCTTTCCAGTATTGTAGTCACTAGCCACATTTGGCTATTGAGCACTTGGAATATGGCTAGGTATTATTGAGAAACTGAATTAAATTTTTTTTTATTTTAACAAATTTAAATTGCCACATGTGGTTAGTGGCTACCATATTGGACAACATAACTCTCTACAGTTTTTTAAAGATGGAGATCCAGTCTATAAGTCTGTGGGTCATTGTTCAGGCTATTCATGGGAACATGAATTCTGGGCTTTGGCAGTAAAGTTTCTTCTTCTTAAGATTTCTCCTTAGGTCCTCTCCTTTTTCCCCAGACTTCCTACTAGAATCTTCTGGGTTTCATGCCAGGAGATTATTTACTTCATCAGGAAGTCTTCCAGTTTGTGTACTGCTCATCAGTTCAGCATGTGGGAGACTCTACAGTCTAGTAAGACCTTTTCCTCTTCCAACTTATACTAACTATGCTTACTACTTTCTGTGCAGTTCTGATTGGATTCCAAAGTTCATCATACTTTGATTTTTAATTTCCATCCATTAATAGATTATAATCAGTTGGAAATTACACATCTCTAATTGTCTGGATATATTTTAACCCCAAAGGGTTTACTTCTCCCATTCTTTGTCTTGCCATTTGACCATCAGTCTATTTCATAATCCCTTTTTGGACATACATGTAATTTCTGAGACTACTAATGGTATAGGCATAAGAATAACTTAATGAATACATATTAATTTGTTTCATTTTATGTTAAGTGTCACTGAATGCATATTAATGAACCAACACTCCTAGATATTTTCTAAATGTATTCTTTTTTTTTTTTTTTAAGATTTTATTTATTTATTTGACAGAGAGAGACAGCGAGAGAGGGAACACAAGCAGGGGGAGTGGGAGAGGGAGAAGCAGGCTTCCCCTTGAGCAGGGAGCCCTATGCGGAGCTTGATCCCAGGACCCTGGGACTGTGACCCGAGCCGAAGGCAGACGCTTAACGACTAAGCCACCCAGGCGCCCCTAAATGTATTCTTTATTCTTATACCATACTTGTAAGGTCACCTCATTTTGCCTACTAAGAAACTGAGGCTCAAGAGTTGGGTTAATCAATTTGTTGATTTGTTAAAGTTAGAATAACTAGGTAGTTAGATGAAGAAGTAGGATTTAAACTCACCTATGACCCCAAACCCTGTGTTGTTTCCACTGTGCCACATGGATGCCCATTTGAGTCTCTTTCACTTTGCCTGAATCCATAACTTCCCTTTTCCCCTCAATCACTGATATGGGTGAACTGTCTGTCTTCTCCTTTTTGCTGAATGCCACCATAATACCTCAATACCATCGACTTCTAGGTATTTCTGGACTCCAATCATTATGAATATGTCTTCCACATATACAGTACTTCCTTCCTGCTCTGTACTTTCCCAGGCTATACTCTCTACTGTTCCCTGGAGTACCCTATATGGAATTCCTTCCCCTATAGTATTCATATGCCTAAGTACAGAGTATCTTTTTTTCCAAGAGTTTTTGGAGCTCCAGGCATCTTAGAATACCTATGTTGGAAAACATCTAGTCTTCTCCCATCAGTCTTCTTTTACTCAGCATTACAGTAGGTATTGTATAAAGCTGCCATTTGCCTGGAGTAGAGAAAAGATTTATTCTTGGTAAGAGGGAATGTAGTGGCCCTGGGTGATGAACATAGGAAAGAAGGTTCTAGGAAAGTTGGTGAGGGAACAATGAATTTCTACCAAAAAAAAAAAAAAGAACAATAGTGTAGACCTAATAGAGGATAAGTGAACAAATCCCTCTCGGGCCTTGGTTAAGATAGAGCCTGAAGTAAAAGAAAATCCATGGCTATGCATAGGTGGGATAGGTAGGGATGAGGCTTTCCTTGGGTGGAGGGTGTATTGCAAAGAAGAAAGGTACAGATGCATAATGTATTCTTCGCTTTTCAACTTGTGCTGACCTGCCCTGGAGGCGACTTTTCTTTTAACAGATGGAATGCTGTTATGGAAAAGACTATATCTAATTAACTGAAAAATGCTAACATGTGCAGTTCTAAAATAATCTCCATGCATATCAAAACATGAAAGTGAGGAGTGCCTGGGTGGCTCAGTCGGTTAAGTGTCTGACTCTTGATATCAGAGTTGTGAGATCCAGCCCTGGGTCAGGCTCTGTGCCAGGCATGGAGCCTGCTTAAGATTTTCCCTCTCCCTCTCCCCCTCCCCTTCCCCCCCACCTCATGCTGTCTCTCTCATTCTCTCTCTCTCTAAAAAACAAAACAAAACATGAAAATGACTGTTACTTGAATAATCACTGCATTTTGGAAGCATGATCATAGCCTTGACAATCAAGCTCAGATTCTCCAGGAATTATTCCTTAACTAAATTAGTGAGTTTTGATCTCTGTTTTTCTGACACTTATACTACTAATAATCTGTATCATATTAACTAGTCCTTTATTATGTGTCATATTGAATTTTTATATGTTCAAGTTTTATCTCCTTAGAGTTTAAAAAAAGAGAGAAGGGGGGCGCCTGGATGGATCTGTTAAGCACCTGACTCTTGATCTCATCTCTGGTCTTGATCTCAGGGTTGTGAGTTTGAGCCCTGTATTGGGCTCTGTGCTGGTTGTGGAGCCTACTTAAAAAAATTTTTTTTAAAGATTTTTTAAATTTATTTGACAGAAACAGAGAGAGTACAAGCAGGGAGAGGGGCAGGCAGAGGGAGAGGGAGAAGCAGGCTTTTTGCTGAGCAAGGACCCCAATGCGGGACTTGATCCCAGGACCCTGGGATCATGACTTGAGCTGAGGGCAGATGCTTAACTGACTGAGCCACCCAGGTGCCCCCCAATTTTTTTTTTAATTAAAAAAAGGAGAGAGAATGGCATATAGTTTTCTTGGGGCACCTGGGTGGCTCAGTCGGTTAAGTGTCTGCCTTTGGCTCAGGTCATGATCATGGAGTCCTGGGATCGAGCCCCGTGTTGGGCTCCCTGCTCAGTGAGGAGTCTGCTTCTCCTCCTGCCCCTCACTCTTCTTGTGTTCTCTCTCTCCCTCACTCTGTCTCTCTGTCTCTCTCAAATAAGTAAAATCTTTAAAAAGAAATAGTTTTCTTTCCATCTTATCTCAACCAATATCCTCTCCTGAAAGTATCATCTATTCTGTAGGCGGCATTTTTCTCTCAATGATGAGCAAAGCTGACCTTCAGATTTCTTCTAGACACTTAACAACAACAACAACAACAACAACAACAACAAAACACAGTAATTTTTTTTCTGGTTCCTGATAAAATCTTAGAAGTTGTTGAGCTTTCTGTCAGCATTCATTCATTTAACAAAATGCTACCATTGTCCTAGGCACTAAATGCAACAGTAAGAAGAACTAGAAGTAAAACATTAATCCCTGCCTTCGTGGAGCTTTTAGTCTTAAAAATAGGACTGGATAGTGTAGAGTGCACTTGAGACTTTAAAGACTAGAGGCAGGGAAACTGTGATTATGATCTAGTCAGTTGTTCTCAACTCCTTATCTTCTCAGCATTTAGCTTTGTCTGCATCTTGATACTCTGCATTTTACCTGTATATTAACGTGTTTGATGCCCTACATTTCCCCTGTAACCTCCTCCCTATCGCCAACACATGTATCTTCCTTTATCAGCTCTCTTCATTCTTTGTTCTTCCTTTGTATTTTTTTCGTATTTGCTTGGTCATATTTGAAAGGTGTCAAAACCATGTGCTTTCTCCCCTCATTCCTCCAATTAAATTCTTCAGTTTCTTCTATAACAGTTTTCTCCTTACAGAGGCAAAAAGGACACATTTGCTTTCTTGATATTTTTCAGACTGGGACTCTTGGTATGAAATCAAGGAATTATCTCCAAAATGGTACATTGATGAAGAGGAAATATCCCAGGGGATGGTAATGGAAAGACTTACAAGTTATGACCTGGAATATTCCAGTTTCAGAGAAGCCTGGAAATATGAGGGTGAATTTGAGCGGCATCAACAAAAGCAGGAGAGGCATTTCAGGCAAGTGACAGCACTTAAGGAAATCTCTGCTGTGAAAAGAGACAATAAATATAATAATTCTGAGAGACGTGTTCTCTTGAAATCAGTACTTTCAACACAAGAGAGAGTTCCCACAGTAGAGCAAGTACATAAATTTGATATTTATGATAAAATGTTTCCCCCAAATTCCATCTTAATTGAACATAAAAGATTACCTGCTGAGAAGGAATCTTTGATAGATAATGAATGTGAAGAATTCAACCAGAACACATACCTTAGTAAAGATATAGGAATTCCTCCTGGGGAGAAACGTTATGAAAGTAATGATTTTTCAAATCTCTTAAGTTTCCACTCATTACTTACTCAACATCAAGCAACTCATTTTGGAAAATTACCGCATGGATTCAATGACTGTGATGATGCCTTTAGCTGTTACTCATTTTTTACTCAACCTCAGAGAATTCACAGTGGAGAGAAACCATTTGTATGCAATGACTGTGGAAAAGCCTTTAGCCATGATTTCTTTCTCAGTGAACATCAAAGAACTCATATTGGAGAGAAACCATATGAATGTAAAGAATGTAACAAAGCTTTCAGACAGAGTGCACACCTTGCTCAACATCAGAGAATCCACACTGGAGAGAAACCTTTTGCATGCAATGAATGTGGGAAGGCCTTTAGCCGTTATGCCTTCCTTGTTGAACATCAGAGAATTCACACAGGAGAGAAACCATATGAATGTAAGGAATGTAACAAAGCCTTCAGACAGAGTGCACACCTCAATCAGCATCAGAGAATTCACACTGGAGAGAAACCCTATGAATGTAATCAATGTGGAAAAGCCTTCAGCAGACGCATCGCCCTTACTCTGCATCAAAGGATTCATACAGGAGAGAAACCCTTTAAATGTAATGAATGTGGGAAGACTTTTGGCTATCGCTCACACCTTAATCAACATCAGAGAATTCATACAGGTGAAAAGCCTTATGAATGCATCAAATGTGGGAAGTTTTTTAGGACTGACTCACAACTTAATCGACATCATAGAATACATAGTGGAGAGAGACCTTTTGAATGCAGTAAATGTGGGAAAGCCTTCAGTGATGCTTTAGTTCTAATTCATCATAAGAGAAGTCATGCAGGAGAGAAACCCTATGAATGTAACAAATGTGGGAAGGCCTTCAGTTGTGGCTCATACCTTAATCAACATCAGAGAATTCATACTGGAGAGAAACCCTATGAATGTAATGAATGTGGGAAGGCTTTCCATCAGATCTTGTCCCTTAGGCTACACCAGAGAATTCATGCTGGAGACAAACCCTATAACTGTAATGAGTGTGGGAATAATTTTAGCTGTGCCTCAGCCCTTAGACGACATCAGAAAATTCATAATAGAGAAACTCTCTGATTATAACAAGTATATGAAAGAAAACATTTAGTCACCACTCAGTCCTTATTAAATAAATATCAGTGAATTCTTTGGTTAATGATTCTATGAATGTAGTAAATATGGGAAAGCCTTCAGTTTATGAGCATCCCCCTTATTTGAAATAGCCTGAATAGTAGACATCTATTACTTTTGGATCTGTTCTATGCCCCATTTGAAACTTACCTCACCCTCAGTGCATATCATTCTGATGAAACTATTAGGGAGAGTAGTGGCTTGGTCATAGGCTGGCCACAGTCTGGTTAATAAGGGAGTGGCAGATGGCCATGTTTGGCCCACTAGAACCCTAGGGGGGTATTGTTATGGATAGTAAGAAAAGATCATTTTTTTTCCTGGAATTGCAAGTTTCACAGATTTAAAGGATTTTTCATGGTTCAGAACTCACCAGTAGCTTTTTTGTCACCACATGAGGAAAGCCTTCCCAAGATCAGTCCAACACAGAGGAAAATGGAGATAAGAGACAAATCTGATGACATTGTTTGACCTTCTGAATTCAATCATGCCTGAAGTCTATACCATCTTTTACTTTTTAATTTTTGTGATCCAATAAATTTTCTTTTTTTGCTTAATTTGAATTGGATTTTTGCCTCTTGGAATTACAGTCCTGATTCATACACCCTATGTTTGCTATACACGTGAGAAAGCCTTAATCTTTTATGGCATAATTATCCTGAGAAACCTTTTGCTAAAACAAGTATATGGAAGTTGAATACACAGCCTTCATAAAGCTGAGAGAATTATTACATTTTATTTGTTGATAAAAATTGATTTGGTATTTATTAGACTTATAATAAGGATGGATTTTTAAAAATTCACCTAGTAAAACTCCTTAACAGGCTTTCCCATAAGGAATTAAAATCACTTGTGGTGGTGACTCACTATAGGCCTTTAAAGAAAGAGTGGCAAGCTAAGAGAATAACGGATCTGTCACATTAATGAATGGCTTCTCATCTTAAAGGAATTATTTGATTTTCTGTTTTCAGTAAGGGTTTAAATATACTGTGTAATAGAATATAATAGAATTGTAAATGAGGTCTTCTTTTGTGGGGAGATTGTAAGCTTGGTTTAAGAAGTTTGTGGATAACAGGGCGCCTGGGTGGCTCAGTCCTCAAGCATCTGCCTTTGGCTCAGGTCATGATTCCAGGGTCCTGGGATCTGGCCCCGCATCGGGCTCCCTGCTCAGCGGGAAGCCTGCTTCTCCCTCTCCCACTCCCCCTGCTTGTGTTCCCTCTCTCGCTGTCTCTCTCTTTCTCTGTCAAATAAATAAATAAAATCTTTAAAGAAAAAAAGAAGTTTATGGATAACTTCTTTGGAACTAGAGATTCAGACAAAGATATTACCAGCAGATAGGATGGGACATTTTCAATTCATGGTAAAAGTAAAACAGTTGGAGCCTAAAATTTTTAGGGCATAAGTTATTACCATTCTTCGGAGTAATGAGGAATATGAGGGTATTATAGGGCAGTATATTCCTATTTTATCTGAGTGGATGTAGAGAGATAAACTGATGATATGGTAATGGAGCCACCTTGAACAGTTAGAATTGTTAGAATCTTGGATATTGTCTGGAAAGCATCTATAAAAACAACAGAACAAATGAACTAGGAAAGAATAAAGGATTTATATATGTGCATGGAGTGAAACAATGACTACTACTCTTATAATTTCTTTATTAGTCAATTTTTACTTATATTAATACAAATCTGAAAATTTCCTAAATATTAAGACAGAATCCCTTGAAACTGAAACTGCAGATTAGGTATGACTCAATACTTCAAACCTTGAACAGAAAAAAATATAATGATTATAAAACACTGCAAAACATACTACATCTAACTAAAATGTCACTTGATATGCTGAAAATCCATGTCATTTCTTTATTCTTATATTTCCTAGATGTCTAGAAAGTTATTTTAATAGTAAGAGTTGAATAATAACTTATTTTGGAAAGCTCCCCAAGGTTATAGTAAACTTGCTAGGCCTAAAGGAAAAAGAGTAATGACTCAGACCAGTGAAGAGTTTGAGTTATTCACTAATTGATTCTGATCTAAGTACGGCACCTGATTTCTTCCTCTAAGGTGACATAAACCCAAGCCACTGATCAGTTCTCTGTTTTTTCAGTTAAACTTCACTTGTAATGTTGGTAAAATCTTATACACCCATGCCTTTAGCACAGGTGTTTGTGCTTTACAATCGGGTGTTTCTCCTCACAAGGAGGTATTAAATTTTATCTGCAACTATACAACCCATTGTCTTATTGCGATATAGTGACTTGATCTCTTAGCATTATTAAAAACTTATGCTTATTATTATCTTATAGTTATTAGGGTTATCTAGAGATTTCCTGTCCTAGGAGATGAGGGTTTGAGTTTGTTCAGTTAATTCTCTTTAGGACATGGACTAATTCGTTTAGAACACACGGGCAAAACCCTTTCCACTTGGTTATTGAGTATGGCCAGTAGTGGTGGAACTGTTGGACTCCTTTTTACTCTGGGTATTTATGCTGCTGAACATATCTCTGCCACGTCAGTTTGTGCAATTTTTGCTTTTCATATTTAAAATTTTTCTTTTATATACTCTTGATTAAGCAGGAGGTGTGTGTGTGTGTTTTATTGAAACATTTTGTGCAGAGTACCTACTGTGTGCCAGGATTTGTTCTAATGTAGACATTGGAAATACAGTAGTGAACTACACAGACAAAAAGCACTGCTTTTTTTTTCAATAGAGCTAATTTCTAGTGAGGAAGACCGACAAAATATATATATAGAAATATATTATGTAAGAGAATAAATTCTAAGGAGAAGATGAAGGAAGAGGCAGGGGACAATGTTGATATTTTAGATTGTATGGCCAGGGAAGGAAGCCTCTTTTGAATTTGACTTTTGATTAAAGAGATGAAAAACCTGGGAAAGGTAAGAGATCTGTCTATACTGCGTATATACACACACACACACACACACATATGCATTTATATGTTTTATATGCCTCTTGGAAAGGTAATCCATATATATATGAATTATATATGTGTCTGTATATGTATATTGCATATATATTTATATATACACATATGTAACCCATACATGTAAATATTAACACTTTGTACCTGCTAAATTCATTCTCATGTATCATTCATTCTGTATTTGTGTATTGCATTTTAACATTTTTCTTTTTAGTCTCAGGAATTCTTGGCCTTTTAAAACTTAATATATTTCAATTAATTATAATGTATATATTGTGATGCTCAAATTGTCAGAGTGAGCCACTGGGGGCCAATTTAGACTGACTTTTTGCTCCCTTGAGCACTGCTCTGACATCTTTGCAAGCATCCTTACTTTCCAGCAATAATAGGATGTTCCAGACCCATCCTCAGTTTTTCTTTGCCCAAATCATGAAGGTAGCTACCTTGCAAGGAATATCGGGAGGGAAAATAACAAGCGTATGCGAAAGGGGTTATGAAATCAGAAATAGAAGTTTCCCTCTTAAGAAAGGAAATAATTTTTCTCAGTTAAAGGTCTTGCTAGCCAGACTTGCAGTCTAAGAAAGAGTAAGTAAGATTGGATCTTCCATTTACACTGTATTTTTGTTTTCTATCATTCCTGTTGCTCAAGAGGAAAAAGATAGCTCAACTCCATGGTAGAGCTTACTTTGATAAGTATACATTAAGCTCACACTAATGAGAATTATATATTAATTATCATTTATAAAACTTGAAATTGTTTCAGGATTTTTGAAACACTGTGGGGTTTTGTTTTGTTTTGTTTTGTTTGTTTTGTTTTTTGGTGGGCAGCAAAGCAAGGTATATTGAGCCATGGTAAGGTGATAGTACAAAGCCACCGAAGAGGGAGGGGACCCAAGAGGGTTGCCCCAAAACACTGTTTTAATAAGTTTAAAATGGCCATTTGAAAGTTGATTATTTAAAGTTGCCTCAACTGATACAAATGAGTCAAAAGGAAATGCCACTAAGCTTCTTTAGATGCGTTATGATTCCACTTGTTCTCTTCTGCCTATAGAAGGTTTTCTTTCTTTTTATTTTATTTTATTTTTAAAATTTTTTTATTATGTTAATCACCATATATTACATCATTAGTTTTTGATGTAGTGTTCCATGATTCATTGTTTGTTCATAACACCCAGTGCTCCATGCAGAATGTGTCCTCTTTAATACCCATCACCAGGCTAACCCATCCCCCTACCCTCCTCCCCTCTAGAACCCTCAGTTTGTTTTTCAGAGTCCATCATCTCTCATGGTTCGTCTCCCCCTCTGACTTACTCCCCTTCATTCTTCCTCTCCTGCTATCTTCTTCTTCTTTTTTCTTAACATATGTTGCGTTATTTGTTTCAGAAGTACAGATCTGTGATTCAATAGTCTTGCACAATTCACAGCGCTCACCATAGCACATACCCTCCCCAATGTCTATCACCCAGCCACCCCGCCCCTCCCACCCCCAACCACTCCAGTAACACTCAGTTTGTTTCCTGAGATTAAGAATTCCTCATATATCAGTGAGGTCATATGATACATGTCTTTCTCTGATTGACTTATTTCACTCAGCATAACACCCTCCAGTTCCATCCACATCGTTGCAAATGGCAAGATCTCATTCGTTTTGATGGCTGCATAATATTCCATTGTGTATATATACCACATCTTCTTTATCCATTCATCTGTCGATGGACATCTTGGCTCTTTCCACAGTTTGGCTATTGTGGACAGGTTTTCTTTCTTTTTAAAAGTTTTTCAGATCTCTCTTCCTGAGCAAACACAAAACAGAGCTTTGTGTGAAATATAAGTAAATTTCCAACCGAGACCTGTGCCCTTTTAGTAGGCACTATTTTTGGATGCTAGGACTTTGCATGAATTTTGGGCAAAATTGCTGCCATTATGATTGGGCTCCTTTTATAGACAGCTGGAAAAAATGTTTCCTTTTTTGAATTTGATTTCACATTGGTTTCAAGTTCCTACTTAGCATATTAATTTGCTGTACCCTACTAAGATTTTCTACTTTGTCCACAAAACTCAATACAGAGAGGTTATGTGGTGGAGAAAAGCAGATTCTTTGAAGCCATGAGGTGAGGATACTTTAGTGACAGAGAAATGACTCACCATCCTGGTCAGCTTTCTTAAAGGCATCTGCATGTTAATTCATCACATATTCTTCCAGAAAAAGTAGTGAAAGTATCTGCTATTTTGATTATTGGCACAAGTAGGGGTGTTGGAGTTAGACCTTCATATGGATGTCAACTCTTTTAGGAGAAACTGAAAAGTGATTATACTTCTTTCAAGCTTAGTTTAGTTATTATAAAACTAAAGTAAAACTTCCAGACTTTTGTTTTTGTAAGGATTATTTGAAAGAATGTAATATATGTAACATTTAACATGACATTGATTAATCATGAAATCAAGCCGGAAGTTTAATTGCATGCCCGAAAGCCAGCTGTTCATGTGAGACAGAACTGTAAATTCAGCTCCTGTGAATTTGCAGCTTCAGAGTCTCAGCGGCTGTCTGGATATTTAAGGCTGTTAGGACTCTGTCTTCTATTAAGACAGAGGCCAGTAAGTTATGGCTCTTGGTTTTTTAAATCTCCATTTATATTTTTGGACTTCAATTCATAGTGCATTATCAAAATTGTTTAGTCCAACACTCATTTCTTGGTTTATTTTTTCCCAAATAATTCCCAATTCCTATTCTCCCCCATAGGCATGCACACAGGATGCATCCTTAAATGTGTGTGTGTGTATATCCCTTATAAAATCAGTCATATATTGTATGTTTGAAATTTATATTAATGGTATTATGCTAAAAGTGTCATTTTTTTCTACTCAACACTTTGTTTTTTTGTGTTTTTTTTTAAGTTTTTCATTTTAATTCCAGTATAGTTAACATACAGTATTATATTAGTTTCAGGTGTCCAATACAGTGATTCAGCACTTCTATACATGACTCAGTGCTCATCATGATAAGTATACTCTTTAATCCCCATCACCTATTTCACCCATTCCCTGCCCCCTACCTCCCCTTTGGTGATCATCAGTTTGTTCTCTATAGTTAAGAGTTTGTCTCTTGGTTTGTCTCTCTCTCTTTTTTTCTTTTGCTCATTTGTTCTGTTTCTTAATTTCCACATATGAGTGAAGTCATA